ACACACACACACACACACACACACACACACACACGAAACACTGAAGAACAAAGGCAAATCATTACTAGTACAATTGTTATAAAGAAATGTTTTATTTATAGTATACTCTAATATATAACAATGCATTATATAAAACTAGATGGAAGAATTCGACAAACAACGTGGGTCATAAATGGTTTTCAAAATGTAGATAAGGTTTCATGTTATGCAAATTCAGTACTGCAATGTTTATTAAATTTAGATGATGTTAGACATCAATTATTTATTTCTGAAAAACCAAATGTTTTAAGTAAATTAGCGCGTCAATATGAAAATGGATTTAATAAACTGAATACATACGCGATACGGCAATATTTAGGAGAGTATTTTTCCAATAATGAAAAACGAGATGCATGTGAATTTCTTATAGCTTTTTATGCAAAATATGATTATATAAGAAATTTATTGGAGTATAAAGTAAATACTATAAGTTGGTGCAGATCTTGTAATAATACAAAATGTATTACAAATAATAACATAATTATTTCTATTCCTATTAATAATTTTAAGAAGAAAAGTTACAAGCTTCAAGATTTGATAAATGTTATCTTTTCACATCTTAAACTTCGTTTAAACTGTACAATGAATCATGTGAATATTATGCAAAGAATGATATCTTGTTTAAAAGTAAATTAATATTGACTCCTAAAATAATTGTCATACGTATTTTTCCATTATAGAATGGTAAATTGGTGAAAACACATACAATTAATTTATGTGCTGTTCCAACAACTAAAGTATTAGTAACTGGCCAGTTTTATAAGGTCATGAATGCCATATTTCACTGGATCAAGCATAGATAATGGTCATTATATAAGTGTATGTAGAGAAGAAACCTCTAATGTCTGGATTGAAATTGATGATATGCAAATTAAAAAAAGACAATGGCCAAGAGATGCTAAAAACATTTACATGCTCTTCTTGAAGAAGATTGATAAATAATAAATAATATAAATAGATAACATATAATTTTGTAACTATATCTGTCAAGAGAGTCATATATTAAGAAATACGACGGGGGTGGTGGTGGGACTTCTTTTATTTTTTATTATAAATAAATATATAAAATGTAAATAATTTATACACACACATGTCATATATGCACATATACACATATATATTTGTAAAAAAATATGTGATATCTTAACAAAATTACTTTAAAAAAAAAAAGTAAAAAAAAGGCGCCAAGTACACGCCTTTCAAACAGTCTTATACTGTTTGAAAATCAATAAAACACGAAAAAATACTTTAAAAACATGAAGTATAATTTATATATATTTTTTTAAACATGAACATTTATATTAAATTGAAAATATAATTGAAATGGTAAATTTATCAGAATTAAATATAAATAATTAAAATATTTGAAATATTAAGAAATATTAAGAAACATTAAAAACAGTAAATAACATTAAGAATCAGTAAGTAACATTAAGATACAGTAAATAACATTAAGAAACAGTAAGTAACATAAAAAACATTAAGTAACATTAAGAAACAGTAAGTAACAAACAGTAAACATCCAAACAGTAAGTATTCAAACAGTAAATATATTAGCAGCCCTATGCTGTGCTAATATATTAACCTTTAAATTATTCATTATATAGCCTTGTGCTATAAAAAAAGCAATCTTATGTTGCTTTTTAGATTCCAATTCTTTATTGGCGTTTACGAAACGCCGCCTGAGCCTTTATTGTCAGGCAACTTATTAGAAAGGATATGAAAAGTCGTATAAGACAATTCATACGGTTACCAAGATTGGATCGTTAGTAACAACATCCGAAATAATCATCGGACAACTTATCGTGACCGCAAATCACTGCCTAAGCTTAGCTTAGGTGTATTATGAATACTTACAAATTTGGAGTATATCTTAAATTTGAGAATTATATCTTTTGGTTCAATATTATATCCGATCTTCTTTAACGTCAAAGGGAGAATAAAAAAAAATAACAAAGACAAAAGCGAAAGAAGGAATTCAATTTTTTTATTAGCCCCGCTTGCTCTCCGCACTGCAGTTTGATCGAAATAAAAACTGCGCTGCTAATTGTGTCCTGAAAATTATATTAACGAACGAAAGATGGCGTTTGTAATTTAAATAAAATATTTAATTTATAAATGGTCTTA